CTATGTCATGTCCTTTTTAAGAAAAGGAAGTGCCCAACAAGCCCTTGAGAGTGCGCATCCGGTCCTCAGATGACAGGCTGTCTGTTGCATGGAAGGCACCACGCCTGTCAGGAGTCAAGAGTCCACGCAGATCTCGAGGTTTTCTTCTGGGTTATGGAGAGAGTGGTCGGAAGATGAATTATGTTCCATTGACAAGAGATCAGAGGACACATGAAATTAAAAAACTAGGTAAGTTTAATATTAATTAGTATGCAATGCTTTGGTGATTGTCTTAGTTATTTTTCTTGTTGCTGAGACAAAATATCTGACACCCAAAGTTAAAAGAGGAATGGTTTACTGTAGCTAACAGTTTGTAGAGGTTTCAGTCTGTAATCAGCTGGCTCCAAGGCAGGGTGGCATGGCAGAAGGGCATCACAGAGGAGAAATAGTTCATGGCAGGCAGAAGGCAGCAAGACAGCAAACAGTGAAGTAACAAAGCAGCAAATGACAAGCAGAGACCCTCTTTTTGTTTCTTATATCCTATCCAGGCTATTCACTCTTAGGGAAGTTAGCACTCAGACCCAGGGTGGGGCAGCCTCAATGCTAGCATCAAACTAAATTAATTTCATTGTCATATCCTTGATCCCAGTATTATACACCCTCGATATAGTCACCTCTGAAAAGCCTTACCTATGACCACATGAAGCTTTGAGGGGACATCTAGGTTCAAGGCATAGCATTCCATCCCTGGCCCCTGAAAGACTCACGCACTTTATGCAAAAGATGGTTTAATCCATCTCCAAAAGTTGCAAAGTCCTAACAGTTTTGCTGAAAAGTATAAGTCTAAAGTCTCCACTGAGATTTAAGGCAATCTCTTAGCTGTAGGCCCCTGTACAAATGAAAAGGAAATTTTCATTTTACTTCCAACATAAAATGGCACAGAATAACATTTCCATTCCAAATAGGGGGGTAGAAAGGACAGGGACAAAGCAAGCCCAAAATCAAGCAAGGCAGACATTAAGTCCTGTAGTTCCACATTCAGTATCCAAGGCAATCTGTGGCAAGATGTGAACTCCAGAGGGCTTGGGTGGCTCTGCCCGTATGGCACTGCTGATGGTTGTAGCTCCCATGGCTTCTGTCTTGGGCCAGCTGTGCTCCTTCTTTGTTTCCACACTCAGTCCACATTCCTGGATTCTCTGACCTTCTGAGGTCTCCAGTGTACCTTTGGCTTCACATTCACAGCTTCACAAACTGCCCTCTCAGGGCCATACTGCCTGGCCTCCCAAGCCTTCTTCTGAAATCTGGGTGGATTCCTTCATGACCCCACAACTCTTCATTCTGTATGTACCTAAAACCACCACCATGTAAATGATTCCAAGGTCTGCACCAGCCTGAGCAGTAGCCAGGCTTCTTTCTCTATTGGCTGCAGGGGTCAAGTGTCTGGATTGCTGCGCACTGTGAACCCAATCATATTTTCTAGGCCTCCAACATTCTGGAACATAGTACTTTGGAGGCTCTTTTCTCAAAGTAAAATTTTTTCACCTTTGCAACCTTGAGGCTGCAAAGGCTATAGTCCTCCTATTTCTTGTGACATCCTCAGGCCATCTTTTCAATTGTCTTGTTCTTTTTCAGAAACCAAGTTCTCTGCTCTATCTTTGTAGTCCACAGCTTTACTGAATCTTCCTTTCTGGCCAAACTCACAATGTTTTAAATCATTCTGCTGGGTTCTTTGCTCTCAATTCTCAGTATAGATCTGGCTGAAAGCCTCAACAGTAGCCATGCCACCACTTCAACATTAGACTGTCTTGAAATTTCTTCTGCAAGTTTAATTACTCTGCTGCCCTCAGGCAAAGTCTCAGGACATGAGCAAAATGCAGATAAATTTTATGCCAATCCATAATACACATCATCTGGAGTTCAACAGCCAATGCAGTCCTTTTTCCCCGAAGAAACTTCCTGAGCCAGATCTTTACTGGCAGCATTTCTATCAGCATTCTGGTCTTCTGATATCTGAGATCAGAATCTCCTATCAAGTAGAGCTCAAGTGATCCAAGGGCTACTTCTTCATCCACCATTTCCAAATCTTTCCAAACTCTTCCCACAAGTCAGTTCTGAAGGCTTCTGAACCATATGGTCAGGTACAGTCACAGCAATGACCCCACTTATCTGGTACAAAATTCTGTGTTATTTAGTTTTCTAATTGCTACGAAAAATACCTGACACCCAAAGTTAAAGGAGGAAAGGTTTATTTGTCCCATAGTTTGTAAAGGTTTCAGTCTTTACTCAGCTGGCTCCAAGACAGGGTGTCATGGCAGAGGGGTATTGCAGAAGAGAAACAGTTCATGACAAGCAAAATGCAGCAAAGCATCAAAGTAGAAAGCAGCAAGGGACAAGCAATGTCCCTTTTTTTGTACTTCGTATTCCATCCAGGATATCTGCCCTCACACCCAGGTTGGAGCACTCTTAATCTTGTCCAAAACTGTGCCAAACCAGTCAGTGGACTAATTTAGTAATCATACACCCTTGATCTGAGTATCATACTTTAGATCCAGCCATCTCTGAAAAGCCACATCAAAGACTGCGTGAGGCTTTTGGGGCACATCTAGACATAAGCCAGAACAGTGATCTCTGTGAGCATTCCAATATTTAGAAGATCATTCATGAAAAAACACTATTTTAGTTGTAATAATCATTTCCAGGTATGACAGTTATTTGAAATCATATCCTTGGTTCTATATTCTAAGCCCCCATAATTTAAACCTTTAGTCAGGGTTAGGGCAAGTCTGTCTTCTAAGGTCCTTCCTGATCCAACAGTACTGACTCCTTGAGTGGAGTCACCTTCTGCATGAGGTTAGGGCTGATGCTTTTCCCATCTCGGCTCCATTTTTATTATTTTGTTCTTTGAAACTTTGTCTTAGACTCCTGGGACCATGGATGTTGGATCTTTTGGGGATCAAACATGTGGCAGCTGAGTAAAACCACAAAGTCTGTCTCATCTTAGGATTCAGGGTTAGAAAGTACCCTCCAACTGTCTTTACAAAAACCAGTAATAAGTATTCTTTTTTTGTTTTTTGAGACAGTGTCTCACTATGCATTTGAGACTGACCTGGAGCTCACTATGTAGCTCAGGCTGGTCTCGAACACACAGTGATCCTCCTGCCTCAGCCTTCCAAGTGCTGGGATTACAGGCATGCACCATCATGCCTGGCCCAGTAATAAGTATTCTAGTGCCACTTCTCACTCAGAGACTCTAGAAAGACTTGGCAGCCTCTCCAACTCACATACGTTGGGCACCTAGCAGCTTTCTGCACTCATGATGGTGTGAAGACCAGCTGTGGAGTCCACTCCTCCCGTGGGGTGAGAAGGCTGAGGTAGGAAGAAAGTCTGGCTCTAGCAAGGAACAGGGAAGACAGACAGCCACAGGTTCATGGAATATGAAGGGGGTAGCCACAGAGAAGATACATGGTGTGCACGACTTAGTGCCTCTTCAGTCCTGAAAGGTAAGATCTTTTATCAGACAGGGTGAGGGGTGTGACTGTCTCACCCCTGTGAGCCTGTCCTGTGGCACTGAACTCCTCCTAGGACAATCTTGGGCCCATGGTAGTTTCAGGAGCTCAGCAAATCAAACGTAGACATTAAGAACTTTAAGAAATACATCTAAAGGCATCTAAAAACTTTGGGTGTGTGAAATTACTTGTTTCTTGGTGGTTCTTTGAAAATAATGGGAAACTGCTTTTCACATGTAGTTACTTTTACATGCTCCTAGATTGGGAGTCAAGCAGGAGATTTTCTTCTTTGATAATTTCTGGCATGCTTCCATTGTCAACAGCACAAAGAAATTAGCAGGGCTGTGAAGTGACTCCTCTGTCTAGCAGCAGAATTTGGCATTCTGCGATTCTGATTCTGAGTGTTACCCATTTGATCTTCCGTTTTGTGAAGCATACATTTCAGAGTTCTTCAGTAGAGTAGCTGTGAGTGCCTTTAGCATAAACATTCACTCATGTCACAGTGTGAACTTTCCTGTTTGTAGAGAAAGCAGGTGGTCCAATATTATGCCCTTCCCTAGAATTTTCTGATGAGAAGACAGCAATTCACTTTATGCAAACAGGGCCCTCAGTGTGAGGTCTTTGAACACAGTATCCATTTATTTAACTCAACATGTTTGTAAAGACCAAAGGCCTGTTTCCTTATTTTCCTCTGAAGGAAGGGATTTTGTGTTCTCCATTCCCTTTAGGGTCTCAGTATTTATAACCTTGTTAATTTACCAAGAGGTTACAGATGTTATAACTACCCACATCAGAAATAGTTCAGGTAGCCTCAGTTTAATTCTTGACTTGATTAAAGCTGCAGCAGGAAGCTTGGTGTCATCCACATCTGGGATGGGTCTCTCCCTTAGTTTGCTGCCATGTGTGTCAATCACTGATAGACCCACTCAGAATTTACTAACCTGCCTGATAGTTCTTATTCAAGTTAAGTTGACATGACACAATTAGTAATCACACTGTTTTTATTAGTAAAATAAGGTCAGATTAGAAGATAACCAAGGTTTCACCTGAGCCTCAGCTTCTATGATTGCATAGTGTTTAAGAATACAAGTTTTAGCCAGGCATAGTGGTGCTTGTCTATAATCCTAGCAGTCGGGGAAGCTGAAGCAGGAGACTGCTAGTTCTAGCCTGGCCTGGACAACCTAGTGACTTAGCAAGACAGTGTCTCAACATCTCCCCCCTGCAAAAAAAAAGGGGCTGAGCTCATAGCACGGTATGAAGGTGCTGGATTAAATTCCCATTACTGAAAAAAAAAGTTCAAGTTTTATTCCCTCATTATAATTTTTTACAAATACAATTTTAAAATTTAGATTAAGTTAGATATGAGTGGAAACCAATGCATGGATGAGGTGAGGCTAACTAACTGAAAGAAGAATCCAGAAATAAAGGTTACATTTAAATCTTCCAATTGCTCTTAACACATCTTTAGAGACTCCACTTAGGATTTTAATTTCAAACAGTACAGCATCCTACAGAAACAGAAAAACTTTTTGGGATACTAACCTATCACACTGGCTCTCCTTTTTCCCCTTTCTTCTTTCTGAAAGCAAACAGAGTAACTGGTATATTGAAAGTAAAAAGAAGTTTGGGAAATCCTATGAGCAAACATGCTATTCTTTTCTTTTTAAAATAATTATTCCTCTTTGATATTGATAAGATAGAAACCCACTTTCTTCAGGAATCATAGGTAAAATCTATTCAGGTTTTTTTTTTTTTTCACATAATAGTGCTCTTTTTTAGTTTAGTTCCAACAGTTCTTGGGCTGATTTTTAGCTGTTCTGGAAGTAGAAATACTTGTGGAAAGATGGAATGGGATGGACAAAGGGATGGGGAACACAGACCATAGAGGCTCATGTGTTCCTGAGAAATCAAGCAACCATCTCAGCCCCTGCTCTTTGGTCCCCAGCCTCGGAGTCAGTGTACGTGGTCTCTCTGCAGTCCATGAACTCCCAGGGGCAGAGCCAGCCAGTCTACAGGGCTGCCCTTACGAAACGCAAGATTTCAGGTAAGTTCCAAGGAAGACTTGGATGAAACCACGGTGTAGACTGAATACCATCTTGCTTCCATATGGTGCTGACTGATGGATTATATGAATTTTATATGGGGAATAAAGGAAACAAGTGGGATGAGTTGGTCACTTTTGGGGTGCAGCTATGTGTCTTTTACATGCAGAGTGATCTTGTGATGAAATTCATTTCACTGTGCATTCTGAACAGCTTCACTTGCAATGGCTTTGCCATGATTGGAGGAGTCAAACATGATTCCACCTAAAAGCACAGTCTGGTTCACCCATAAATTGCTCTTAGTGAGACATCAACAAAGTGGGAGAAAGAAGAGTAGTTGTGGAGGGATGGCATGCAATTGTGCATACCAATGTTATTTCATCGAACTTTGAATGAAACTATGATGGAGACAGGAGAACAAATGTAATGATTGCTTGATGATAGCCTGGTCATTCTTTACTTACTAACGGGTATTTATGTCCATTCATGGGTATTTTTTATATTACTCATATATTAACAAATTATATAATCTTTTGTGGGCCACATGTCTTAGGTTTAAAGGGGGCAACTACCAACATACTTATTTCCATGAATTCACAGTGTAAAATGAAACTCATGATGGGGCCGGGGATTTAGCTCAGTGGTTCTGCCGCCTGTCTCACAAGCACAAGGTCCAGAGTTCATCCCTGATATCAGAAAAAAAAAAACCCAACAAAAAAACTCATGATGCTTTTCACACAGTATAAAGAAGTTCCACACATATGATGTTTCACTTTTATTATTCATTGATTGCTGCCATAAAGAAGCCCTTTATCACTTTTCTGATAGGTCAAATATTTCTTTATTTTCCTTCTTCCATACCCTTTTGAAACATGGTGCCCTAATAGTGAGAACAAAACAAAAACCCGGAGACTAAAAAGCAAGATTAAAGATATCTTGCGAATCTTAATTTGTTGGAGATTAACCTATGGCTATGTCTTTGTGACTGTGATGCGTTCTATTGATGACAAAGATAAATCTCTGTAGAAAATGGGCAAACTGAGTTGTTTTATATCTGCATATAATTTTAATTTCCTTTGCCTATTTAATTCCTTTGTCTTATATTCTAAAACGTGAGGACATTGAATCCAATGTGATTCTTACAGTTGTTTGGAGCAGAATTTTCAGTTCATGTCATGATCATCAAGGAAGTGCAAATTAAGCTTTTCTTCCCCTAAACGTTTTCTGCTTCTAAAATTTTTATGATTTTTCTAGAAACTTATAGTGTACACTGAGCAAACACTGACTTGCTTGGAGCATCTTCCACCAAGGGGAAGTGTCTGCTTTGCTGTTGTTGGTGATTGGGTTGGGCAGCTTCTGAAAGGGATTTCGGATTTCTTAGGCTGTGTTAAAGAAGACCAAGAGTGGAGGTTTTGCTTTCTAAATTGGCCAATCAATTAAACTTTAAAATTTAACTCATTTCATTTTACCTACATTAAACATAAGCAACCTAAAAGTTATATAGGGTGAATAATAGATGCTAAAAGCCAGACGAAGTCAAGGCAGAGACTATAGTTAGAGACAGCTGTCCCATGTGTCCAACTGTCATTTCAGAAGAGGATGAACTGGATGTACCTAAAGACATCAGTGTTCGAGTTATGTCATCCCAGTCTGTACTTGTGGCCTGGGTGGATCCTGTTTTGGAAAAACAGAAGAAAGTCGTTGCTTCAAGGTATTTTTGCTTATTTCTTTGTCTTTATGCTCGAGAGATGTGACTCATTGGGAGGAATCTTACTGAAGAGTCACAGCAGGATAGACTTTTCTGTTGAATGGTAGAGATTTGTCTAATGCCTTACCTTAGTGGTTCCTGTTTAGTCATTTATCCACTGCTGAATTGTTTCATGCCTAGCTTGTTTGTGACTAACAAAATGCACCTTATTTTTTCAGACCATGGTGTACTATTCTGCTTTTTATACTCATTTGCAATTGCAATAGAAGAAAAAACAATCAGAATGTTAAAATGATCTTTATGTTAGAAAGCCATTGGTCCAAGGGCCGGGGATTTAGCTCAGCGGTTTGGTGGCCTACCTTGCAAGCACAAGGACCTGAGTTCAATCCCTGATACCACCAAAAAAAAAAAAAAAAAAAAAAAAAAAAAATCCATTGGTGAATATAGCCATCAAATTTTTGTGTTGAATTACCAAATGGTTTATTTAAACAAGAGAAAGCCAAAGATTTGGTGGCTTAGTGGCTTAGTTATGTATTAAATCTTAAACTTATCTGCAGCCCGGAAAGAAGGATGTATTTTCAAGCGAATGTAGTATATACAGAGATGCACACAAACTGCTAGCCATGTTGAATATATCGTTTCCTTGACAGTCTGCTAGTAAAAAATAAAGACATCTGCTTCTTTTGAAAGACCTCAGAAGGTGAGTGGTAGCTCTCTTCTAGACATGTGGCCCTCCCCCATATGTAGTATCCTAATTACCATCATCTTTGATTTCCAACCTCTTGCTTAAAAACAGGGAAGGCTTGAGTCTTTTTTAGCAGAATTGCTTTGTTAATTGGGATGGCATGTCTTCAGCTGAAGTCTTCTGACTTATGGAATATAATGGGTAGCATATTTTTAATACATCAAATGCTTTCTACTGCAAAGAGGCCGCAAAAGAAAGAAGAGTCCAGTAAACAGCATTTGGCACTCTTGGAGCGTTGAGGATGTCTGCCATCTGAGGATTTTGAGTATTACCCTCAATGTTTGGTTTCTCTCCAGGAAAATCACTCACTGGAGTGTCTTTTACAAGCTCCACTATCCTGCTGTGTTTATTACACATTTTTTGCTCCATTTAAGGTTAATAAGTCTACTTGAAACCATATTTTCCTTTGCCTCCTGGACATACAGAAACATGCCTGATTTGGCATGAAATGACTCCGTTTTGACACCTTAGGCCAATTCTGATCCTTAATGTCATCCCTTTGTACAGTATACACACACACATACACACACACACACACACACACACACCCCTATCTCTGAGAAGGTAGTTCCCTCATATGATATGTTCCATTTATATATTCCTTCTCTTTGTAACTCTATTTATCTTTTGAGCAGTAAGACATTTTGGTCTTAAAAAAAGTATCATGCTCCATCTTTTTAAAAAAAATCTTATTGAGTTTATTGGTACTTTTTAAGTATGTAGTACAGTTACATTCATCATTGGGATCTTGTACCTTTACATGACAGATCTGGGTTCTCATTTTTTCCCCATACTCTGCCCTCCCTTCACCCCCTCTAACCTCCCCTATTTACAAAGACTTTGTTTCCATTTTTTCCTTTTCTCATATTTTTTCTGGTCCCTTATTTCCTTCCCCCTACTCTTCCTGTTTCCCCTACATCTTTAGCCTTTTTCTTTGTATTTCACATTATCAGTTATACAATTTGTATATAGTTATACAATTTACACTTTTACTTTTCACACCAGAGAAACTATTCAGTATTTACATGTGTGTCTTATTTATTTCACTTAAGAGTATAGCCTCAATATGCGTCCATTTTCCTATGAATGACTATAGTTTCTCATTCTTTATGGCTGAGTAGTACTCCATTTTATAGAAAAACCACATCTTTTTTTTCTCATTGAGTTTATTGGTACATTTTAGGTATACAGTACAGTTACATTCATCATTGGGATCTTGTACCTTTACATGACAGGTCTTGGTTCTCATTTTTTCCCTTTATCCCTCCCCTCCCTTCACCCCTCTTCCCTTCCCTATTTACAAATGATTTATTTCCATTTTTTCATTTTCTCATGGAAAAATCACATCTTTATCCATTCTCAAACTGATGGGCATTTGGGCTGTTTACAAGTTTTAGTCCATCTTTCCAGGACTATTTTAGATACCCTTAGCTGAAACTTAAGCAGATTCTTGGAGCCAATAACATAGCCAAAAGTTTAGATTTTTTTTCTCCTTTTAAACTTCCCAACTTAACACCAACAGTGATAAAGGAGCAAGGAAGGAAAAACAGCAAGAACTCTAGAGCTTAGTTGCAAAGAATCTGACCAACTGGATACCTTGTGTTGCATTTTCTTACAGACAGTACACTGTGCGCTATCGAGAGAAGGGGGAATCAGCCAGGTGGGATTACAAGCAGATTGGTAATAGGCGTGTGATGATTGAGAACTTGATGCCAGATACCGTGTATGAATTTGCAGTCCGCATTTCACAGGGTGAAAGAGATGGCAAATGGAGTACATCAGTCTTCCAAAGAACACCGGAGTCTGGTCTGTATTTGAAATGGCCTTTGGGTTTGCTATTTGTGAATTGCTCCTAAAATCATATTTAAAGGCAATTTAAGAAGCCTATGGTGACAAAGGCCAGCTTGGGCATTTAAAAAAGTCATATTAACCCTAAAACTTGATACTGTTCCTATGTATAATACAAATCAATTAGGATTAGGGGTTGAGTAAAAGAAAAAGTTAATTACAAAGAGAAATAAATGCAAAGAAGTTAGGAACTGTTTTATTGTGTCCATGTTTTGTCCTCTGCCAGCCTTTTCCCTTCGCATATTGCTCTGACCTGGGTAGCTTGTAGTCACTGTTGTATGTATGGATGCCCCCGGGTGATGCATGGCTCTTGATATAGGGCACATGCTTCTCTCCTGAGGCTAAAGTTGTGTTGAGTATGGAGGAGAATTTTATCCTATAGCCGGGGCTACATTTCTCCTTTGAACTATGCAGTGATAGTTGCATTTCTAAAAAGTTGGAATGGATTTTACTCTTCTTTATATAGTTCAATATTTAACCTCAACAGAAATTCAGAATTCCTAACAGTACTTCCCTCGACAGGTCGAATTTTACTATATAAGTTGGTAAAAATTACATAAATCACTGTAGTCCACAGAGAGCAAGTTTTGTCTCATGTCATAAACATAAACATAGTAAATAGGTCTCCAATAACCAGTGTGTACTGAGCCACTATCTACCATTTACTTTTAGGAATGCTCCATTACAGCATTCTAAAATAGTCGATTCTTTGTTGTCTTATAGCTCCTACCATAGCCCCTGAAAACTTGAATGTCTGGCCAGTCAATGGCAAACCTACAGTTGTCACTGTGTCTTGGGATCCACTGCCAGAGACTGAGGGGAGAGTAAAAGGTGAGAATCCCATCCCGTACACCCTAAATTGCATTGACTCTGATAGATATTGCATCTGCTCACAGCTTTGGGGACTGAAGAAGAAGAAGAAGGGAAGCAACATATGTAGAAGAGGTGCTGACCCCAGGGCAGAGGTCTTATCCAGGTCCATATGGGGTTTCCATCGTCTCAGACTCACTCAGGTAGTCACAAAGGCAATTATTCTTTTCATCCTCCTACAGGCGAGGATGTTTTCCATTGCATGGGGGTGATATTACAACCGTTACTCCTGTTTCCTTACTAGGAGCTTTTCATTGTGCCACTGAGATTGAGGAAGCAGAATTTAGTGGGAACGCCATGGAAGCATCAGTGCCTTTATTGACAGCATAGATACTTTTAATGGGATTGAAAAACTCAAGTAACAATTTTCAGAAAATGGATTTTGTTTTTCTATTCATCAACCTTTATTTATTTATCTATTTGGGTCAGAGAATGTATAACTGTGAGACAGAAAAAATACGAAGTTTTTTTTTTGTTTGTTTTTGGTACCGGGGATCGAACTCAGGTCCTTGCATTTGCAATGCAGGCAGCAGCACCTCTGAGCTAAATCCCCAGGCCTAAGACTTTAAAATAATAAAAATAGATAAAATATTCACAACTAGTTAAACTTTCAGAAGTCTGGAGACATGTCAAAGAGTCATACTTTTTTTCCCCCTGACAATTACCCATGGAAATGTACCCCAGAAAAAGATGGAATATTTATTGTAGAAAGGAATATTTTTATTGTTATTAGATTTTGGGGAATGAGTTTGTTTAACATATCTAGAAACTATGAAAAGCTTTTGTAAGTTTAAAGAAATCTGAAAGATCATTACCAGTTAGTCTCATTTGAGATTTTCTTAATTGAAGATGTTAATTGAAGATGTTCAGGGGTCACTTAAACTTTAAGTTATCTTTCCTGACAAGCAGCATGTATTTGTGTAGAACAGTGGAATTTAAGGAAGATAGATATGTTTATCTATGAGGTGATATCAAAATATATGATGAATATTTAAATTAAAAAAATTTATTACAGTTTAAATCACGTTATCATTAATCTCTATCAAAATATTTGTCCTCACTTCAAATACTCTTATCCCAAGTTCATGCTACTTTCTGAAGCAGTTCTGGAAATTGTTCATGTCTTTATAAGGTATGGTAAAAAATACAGTGAATCCTGATGCCCAGTACCATCCAACAGAGGCAGACTGGGAAAAGCATTATAGTGAGTTTTCATCCACCTTATTCACCAGATCTGGCATCATAAGACTGCTGGCTCTTCCCCAAAGTTAAAATGACTGTGAAAGGTGAATGCTTTGAATTGATTTAGGTCATCAAGTCAGCTATGACAGTGTAACCAAAGACAATTGAAATGACTTCTAGAAATGCTTCAGAAAGTGACAAAAGTGATGGGGTAAGTGTGCTCCAAGTGGTGGGGGGAGTATTTTGGGGGAGAATTAGTGGCAGTATGTCTTTTAATGTAATTAAAAAATATTTACCATTCATCATACTTTGTGATCCTGCCTTGTACACATAAAGCTTTCTCATTTTCTAGTTTTTAAAGAATAGATTATGCTATTCTTTTCTCTTGTTGCTCCCATCCCCATTGTAATAAATCAGAAACAAATAAGAGAATAAATATTTAATGGGTTCCTCTGAATAATTACCTTTATAACAATCTAAACTTTGGCTCTTTGTGTATTAAGTACTGATACTGAAAAGGTCTCTGAAAATGAAATAAAGGCTTTTTTTTTGGCTGACTACTATTTTAGTTTTTTAAAAAAGACAATTATGCTCCTATAGTGAATTTATTATCATCCTACTTATTTGTTCTTTTTTTCTCCCACATCTTGATTTATATTTATAGCTCTTTGGTGAGAAAAGCTCTTCATTGTCAATTAAATATTGCCAGAAGCAATAATAGCTACTGAAGTTTTGTATGAGGGACAGTCTTGTGTCTTAACCCTGCCCACTTTTTATAACGTTGTGGTGCAGGGACTAAAATGCATAATTACATTGGGATATTTGTAATGGATAAAATATATACAGCATAATAGGAAACTATACTTTGACACTGTTAAATTTTTCCAAATGCATTTAAACCATTAAAAACTCTGAGTCACAAAGTTTTATATACAGTGAGTTCTCTAAAGTCTTACTTTTGACCACTGCAAATGACTAGTTTGTTCATTTTTTAATGAGAAAAGAAGGCTATGTTTTTCCAGAGGAATGCTACAGAAGCATTTTTGGTTGAAAGTTTTTAATTAATGTATATTTTAAAGATTAGAGACTAGGATAAAAAAGACCTCCAATACTCTTACTAATTACTTATATTTTTGTGATTCAAATTGTTTTTCTTAGATCACATATTCATATTATTTTATGTTTTGTAAATCATAAGCTCATTGAGAAGAAAATAGGCATCAGTTTTTAGTTAGATGTTAAAATCTTCAAAATATGACTTCATATGTTATAATTTTTAATGTGATCAAGGAGATATTTTAGTTCCTTGGACTGAATTTTCCATGATTTTCAAAGTTTAGAGCCAAACACAGTGGTGATGCCTATAGTCTTAGAATTCTTGGAGACTGACTCAGAAGGACCTCATTTGAGCTCAGCCTGGGCAACTTAGTAAGACCCTGCCTCCAAATTTAAAAAAATGTAACCCCAAAGGCTGGGGATGTGACTCAATGTGAAGGTCCTGGGTTTAACCCTCAAGGATGCAAAAAGATAAAAAAGTAAAACCAGAAAGAAGTTTAAAGGCATTACAAGCTTATAGATACAGTCAAAGATGGAAACATTAGATATCACACCAATCTGTTACTTAACACCTAACTTTCACAGTTGTAAATGCTGTGAAATATCAGCATATGTTGAGTAAGGACTTCTATAATTCCTAAAAAAGTGGAATTTCATGCCAACTATAGATTTTTCTGACTTAACACGTGAATACAAGTAAGCAGCTTGGTAAACCAAAACTCTTGGGGATGGCAGTTATTCGGAATCAATTCCTAGTGGTTACCACTTTTTCCATGCTTTCTTCTATTTTGGATATATCATCTTACCAAAGTAGTAAATAAAGATCCCAGAGAAAAAAAAAGATCAGAGTAAATATTTTTGGTGAATTGTGTGAAGACTGGTCTCCTAGGTTCTGTGTGTTTAAGTAAATCGCCTGCTCATGAACCAGCCCTGCCTGGGGGCCAGAGAGAGTGTGAGCGCATCTGCTGCTCTGCCCGTCTGCTCAGCTGTCTACTTGACCTGCATCGCTGGTGTGTTAGCTTTAGTAACGCGTGTTCCAGTTCATCCTGCCCACGCAGTCTGTCTGCTGGTCACAGGACTGTTGTCAGGTTCCTCCTTCCAACCGTCTGCCAAATCATTTCAGAATACATTCTTTCCTACGCCCCGGCCCTCAAACCGTTCGGAGCAAAGTCCCTCACCTACTCTGGACACACTACTTCTGCCCTGGTGGATGGTCTGCAGCCTGGGGAACGCTATCTGTTCAAAATCCGGGCCGCAAACAGAAGAGGCCCTGGGCCGCACTCCAAAGCCTTCATTGTCGCTATGCCAACAAGTAAGCACCTTATGCCCTGCCTCTCTTTTCTACCTCTCTTCATTCTTGCTATTTGTTTTGTGTTACCTTGAATCATGCTCTTTGGTTAAGACCTTTGAATTGCGAAGATATCGATTTCTAAAATATCAGAAATTAGTCTTCCCAAAGACTAAAATATTATTGATTGCTGATCATACTAATAATTACTGCCATATCCTTAATGACGTAAGTTTATATCACTGTGTAGTGAGGGATTTATGTTGACAGGAAAAGAACATTTCTGTAAGTGTAATGTGACATTTTAAATTGTTAACCCTCTCTCTACACTGCACTTAGCGGTTTCAGTTTGTTCTCCATTATACCCGAGTGCAGCTTTATTCAGAAGAATTTGAAGTGTCTGGTTTATCTAATTAGTATCAAAACCAACAAGTTAATAAAGATCCAATATTGGTGTGGACTGTTTTTAGATCATGTTTTCTTTTCTGCTGCTCCACATTTATGACACGTATGAGCAGCTCCACCCTTCCTTGTGTGCCATGAGGACCCACAAGATGCACACAGCTTTAGCAGGTAACAAACTGTGGAATAGATAAGGTTTGCTCCCAGGGAGTCCCCCGTTGCTATAGAAATCTCTCTCCCCTTCCAGCAGCCTTTGTTTCTGTCAACCCTGCTCTTAAAGTGGGGTGAGAGTAAAGGTATATTTAATATAGTATTTTGCCTAGTACAAGAGTCTTTTAAAGTTTTAATTTGGAATTGCAAATGCATCCATTATGAAAAGAATTTTAAGAAAGAGGGAGGAAGTAAGTAAAAGGGGAACAGAGCTCTCTGTAATGTCTCAAAATTAAAAATTTATTGCTCACTCTAGTCACTTGCAAGTTATATACATTCCCATGTATTCTGGAGCATAGGTTACAATATTTTGCTAGTGATCTCTCTTCCTCTCTCTCTCTCTCCATATATACATATAGATATATCTATATCTATAT